CAGGGTTTGGGGGATCATGGTGCTGAAGGCGGATGTGAAGTCCACAAAGAGCATACGGACGTAAGAGTTTTTCTGCTCCAGGTGGTTGAGAGCAGTGTGGACCACAGAGGAGATGGCATCCTCTGTTGATCGGTTCTCACGGTATGCATACTGATGAGGGTCCTCGTTGATGTTGATGGTTGTTTTGATGTGAGTCTCATGACCAGTTTTTCGAAGCACTTAGCGACTATCGGGGTGAGGGCCACTGGCCAATAGTCATTCAGACCAGTCACTGTAGAGTTTTTTGGGACTGGGATGATGGTGGCAGTCTTCAGGCAGGTGGGAACTGTCTCCAGGGTAAGTGAGGTGTTAAAGATGTATGCCAGCACCTCGCAGAGCTGATCGGCACATTCCTTCAACACTTTTCCGGGGATGTTGTCTGGGCCGGTTGCTTTGTGTGGGGTAATCCTCCTGAAAGTACTCCTTACTTCTGCTGAGGTCACGCTGAGATGCTCTTCATCCGGTGGTGAGGTGAGTCTGGTGCTGGGTGGTCTGTTCGGGTCTTCAAAGCGTGCATAGAACTTGTTGAGGGCATCAGGCAGAGATGGGTCTTTGGGGCATTGTTCACTCCTTCCTTTATAATCTGTTATGCACTTAATGCCCCTCCACATGCTCCGACGGTCTTGTGAGATGAATTGACCCTCGATCCTCTGTGCATATGTGGCCTTGGCCCTCTTAATACCAGCAAACAGCTCATGCACATACAGAGGTGAAATTTGGTGGGGTTATAGCTGAGAACATTCCCTGTCACAAACTGAATCCAAATCAAAAATACAAGATATTCACTAAAAAGGGGGAAAAATATGATGACTCAGTCATTTTTAGAGCTGTTCAGCTGAAATTTGTTTTAGTTGTAGCTGAGGGCGAACTCCAACACAAAGGACTTTCAAAACATTTTTTTTTAATTTTCATCAGCCTGGCAGTCCCAGTCAAAGTTCTCCAGGAACTTTCTAGCTGAAGTTATTGCTGATACTCTGCTGCCACCTGCTGGTTAGAGTTAGTAACAACATTCTGCTGTGGCGAGTTGAACGTTTTTAATGTAGATTAAACTGTTTTACTTTAATTCCTTCGGTTCACTGAGCTCTTATAAAGAGAAAGGTAAGAGAGTGTATGTTAAAAAACAAAAATAATAAAACAATAAAAGTCTAATTTTATTTACTGTAGTTAAAAATGTGAATGGAGGATGCGGGCATCGATCCCGCTACCTCTCGCATGCTAAGCGAGCGCTCTACCATTTGAGCTAATCCCCCTCGATGACGTATAGTTGAGCTGATTTTTATAAATTATTCTCATACGAGGAATGCTCATCAAATATGATCAAGTTTGTTACTATTTCACACAAAGATATCCAATAATTCTCAGTCAGGTCACGTGGACAGTTTCTTTTTTATAGAGACGTTTCACCCTCTGTCCAGAGGGCTTCATCAGTCTGAGGAGTTCCAGTAAACTGTTTCCCCCCCACCAAGCAGTGAACAACTTAAGTGGACAAACCAGTTTGCTGGAGCTAAGATACCACACCATTTTATTTACAGAGCACTTAAAACAGCGACAAGGCCAACCAAAGTGCTGTACAGACAGAAAAACACAAAGCAATATACAAAATGAGGTAAATCAGAATAAAGAAATAAAAACGATGCAGCAACGAGGCAACTCGTTCCAAAGTCTTGGACCTGCTACAGAGAAGGCCCCGTCACCTCTGATGGTGGTCGTCCTGTCCCCCTCCCCTGGACTCCTCCCAGGCAGGCAACCACAGCCAAAGTGGTTCAAGGCAACAAAGTTCATGCTCAATCATCCAGGTACCAAATCCAATAATTCTCAGTCAAGTCATCTGGACAGTTTCTTTTATGACCTGACTGAGAATTATTGGATTTGGTACCTGGATGATTGAGCATGGACTTTGTTGTTAACAATAATCTATCGGGCCGCGGTAAAGTTAGTTTAACGTTGGACGTTGGACATTCGAGCTCCGTAGCTTCAGCGGTGTGTTGCTCTTGTTCGATTCGAAGCAGACAGTAACTTTACCGCGGTATCAAGTTGTCACGTTGGAGTGAATCCAGTTCACGATGGCTGGAACAGCTAATTAACATAAACCAAAGGGCTACAGCTCTGGTTTCTTCTCATCGTATCATGACCTTAGTCTAAAACCCCGGCATAGAATCAGCAGGCGATAGTGTTTTATAACATTGCATTTTATTGTTTATTATCATTATCATTTTATCATTAATTATCATTTTATTGCAAAAGGGCCTTCTCCTACTCCGCTCCTGTTTCCTGGATTATCTTGCAAAAAGATCTGAAGCTCTCGACCTTGACCTCTAGGTGGCTTCAAACATCTGCTAAGTTCATGGCAAGAACCAATGCAGACATGTTCCTGTTTGTAGTTTTCTACATCTCCTTATAATCTAGCTGTTCTTTTTTTTCATTACTTTTTCTTTTGACTGGTTGCTATTTTGTTTTGTTTTGTTACCAAAAAATAAAATAAATTTGTATGCCTCTTTTGTGTCTATTGTTGTCGTTGTTACTCACTGTTGTCATCACTCTTTGTTAAGAAATCAGGTCTCTCTTGTAAATGAGTCCTCACGACTCAGTCTCAATGAGACCTGTCTAAATAAACGTTGAATGAATGAATGAATATGCTTTTTTTAAAACGCCAGATCCTTGATTTGTTTAAGTCAGAGAAGAAGTGATGGAGTGTGTTCTGTGGCCCAAACATTCAAGCATTGCAAACGTTCACACAAAACACCCGGCAGAAATGATTTACAGCTGTTTATTGACTGAAAACTCAAAAACTGAGTGTTCTGTAGACATGATCCACTAATGCATGTAGCAGAGAGCTGACAAACTGTTTTTAATAAAAATGTTGCAGCGTACCGAAGTTAGAGCGAACTAAACCCAAGCTGTTCTGCACGAGGAGCTTTAAAAACATTGAGAAATGAGGAACGCTTCATGAATTTTAAACTCCACAAGTGTGGATTCGTTCCACCTTTATTTATAAGGTTAATCCCATTGATCCTCGGGGACTCATTTACAAGAGAGACCTGGTTTGAACAAAGAGTGATGAGAACAGTGGAACAACAAAGAACACAATAGGCTTTACTGGAAAGGGAACTGTGCTGCAGTTTGTTTATAAATAAAGGGAGTGGGGGTTAACCGACTACATATTTTTAAGTCGACTGTAACATAATAAAAGTCGAGGCGACTTTGAATAGTCGATGACGTCATAGGAACTCAAGACGCTATATCATGTTTGCAAAAAAAAAAAAAAAAGGCAAGAAAACATCAGGCATAAATTTATGCTCCTACCATTTATCATACTGCAAAGGAAAAGCAAAACTATTATCAAGCTGAAAAAATGCTGCTGTTTTTCGTTTTATTTTATTTTATTTAATCCACCTCGTGGATTGGGTGGAATAGTGTTGGGAACAGCGGGGGGTGCGACTAGTCGACGTGAAATATAAAAACTCGCGAGACGACATAGAATCGACTAGTCTTACTTGTCTATTCCACCCCTAAAACGGAGCATTATACTTTATGACTTTAGAACAATTTACACCTTTAACCAGCCACCAGGGAGCACAGCCAGCGTGTCTTTCTGCAATACAGGTCCGACTAGAGGAATGCAGTAATGAGAGAGTTGCTCCGGGTTGTCACAGCGAAGGAGGAATTATAATTTACTGGTCTCTGTTCCATTCCTCACCTATGGTCACACAAAGTTTGTATCGACTGAAAGAATGAGGTCCTGGTTCCACGTAGCTGAAATGAGCTTCCATTGTGCTGAGTGAAGCTGACACCGCTCTTCCTTTGTAGGGTGGCCGGGCTCAGCCTGAGAGGTAAGGTGAGGAGCTCTATCATCCAGGGGAATCTCAGAGTACAACTACTGCTCCTGTGGAGAGTCCAACACTTTGAAGATGTAACATCATCATCATCAAGACAATCAGTTTGTGAGGGACTATGGTTTAGATGCTGTCCCGTGTTTGTGGGACACAGCGCTAAAGATAATACTCTCATTGTGTTTTCTGATTAAAAACACCCACAGGAAACGCTTCTTTCCAAGACTATGATTTAATCAAATGTTAAAGGTATTTATTAAGATAAGGAATGTTGACCTTTAAATAGACGATCATTTATCTTCCATCAAGTTTATGTTAGATAAAAGTACATCATTGTGATTATTACTAATCAAACGATTGACTAACAGAAACCCTAATGTGACCAATGTAATAATAATTAAACCCCATTTAGTATTTTTGTTTAGTCCTGTTAAAATAACTTTATAGATTTTTTGTGACTGACACTGTGTCATTAAAAAGCTGCAGATATGTAAAAAAAATATATATAAAATTATATATATATGGAAAACTGACATTAGTCTTTTTATTTCCTGTGTGGCACAATGTTTTAGATGAGTTATTTTTATGTTTGTTTAACTCAGTTGATCGAGTGGAATTAATTTATGTTACTTCTAAATTTTGAGTTAAAATTGTAAGCATTTATTTACAGATTGTGTATACTTAGTATGTATAGAAATAGACTGAAAACTCCTACAGTATGTGTAAAAGTCCCGAGTCTTTGAAGTTTTTAATGTTTGCTTCCAATAAATCACAATTTTTCTTAAAGCATGTAACCTGTAGGTTACAATAACAAACAAGACTAAAACGTGTCTCGGGAAAATGTTAAAATATCACAAAACAAAATAGAATAATGTTTGTTACTAAAAAAATAAACACGTTAATTACCAGGAGCAGATTTTGTTCATTTTGACAAGGTTTTTGTTACTTACTGCTCTGACAAAATACGTGTGCGTTTTATAAATGTAAGGTTTTTTTTTTTTTTTTGTTGTATTTTATTTATTGAAAAAGATGATAATGTAAACCGACGAGCTTCAGAGCTCTGATTTAAATTTTCTCCATGGAGTTGATTTCCCAGTTCTGGTAGGATTTTTGTCCCGTCGGAGCTTCCATACATCGCAATGTTTCTGGAACGACGCTAAACTAACCAAGGAAGCTAACAGGAACCGGGACGTGATTCGGTCCATGTTCCGGTGGGTGTGTGGCGTCACCTGGTTCTGATAGCATTGAATATAAGCCTGAGACCCTCCCCCCCTCCCCCTTCTTTCCCTCCCCCTCTCTATCAGTTCAGTGTTTTGGTTTCGCTGCTTATCTCCCTGACCTTTGACCTTTCCCCTATGCTTTCCCGAGCTAGCAAGCTGCTATAAAGCAGCGCGAGCTCAGCCGGAGCGCAGACCGGAGAGGATCGACCCGCAGAGGGATGAGTCATGGCGTCGGTTCGGGTGGCTGTGCGGGTCAGGCCCATGAACAGACGGTGAGTTCAGTGGATGTTTGCGGTGCGGATCGTTTCCAGGTGTGCTCCAGGTAACTCTCACCTGTCCGGGGCTAAGACACCCTGCAGGATTTAAAGACCAGAACTTTCTCACGGTTCCAGACTCGGAGGTTCTGGTTCGTGTTTTGGTTTAACGCCCATGTTCACACTGGAAACGCATTTAATTCGGGTTTAACCCACTTTCATCGTCATGTTTCTGTCTCAACTTCAGCTCAAGGTGATTTATTATTATGACGATTATTCTTTTAATCGATATACATTTTAAAAGTTTTACATATTTAAATTAGGGCCATACTGTCAACATTGTTTACATCTAAAACCGGAACTTGTCTCAAAACATTTTAGACGAAGATTAAACTGGTTAATAAAAACCTTTTCACTGTGGCTGATGAATCAGTTATTTAATTAATTAAAATAAGGTTTTTGTATTTTAACTAAAACTGTCGGCTTATAAATTGTCTTAAAAACATTTAAACATGTTGCTCTGGTGTGTCCCCAGCTGGTCACCTGCTCGTGTGTCACCTTTAGGGTGCAGGGTGCCCCCCTCGAATGATATGAGGGGGAACTGGTTCTTCAGTTGACTTTCTAGAGTTTTTTTTTACTCCATTAGGTCACCTTTGCTGTTTTTGTGATTTTATTTATTTGTTTTTTTCTCCTCCACCTCCTGTTGTGACAAACTTCTTGGAGCCATTTTTAAAACCCACAGCTGAAGAGCGTGTAGCTGACCTTTAGCTGCTGCTCGGGGCTGATTGCAGCCGCAGGTGGAGCTAGCAGCAGCGCCGCGCTGAAAGTCCGGCTGACCTGCAGAGTCCTGATGAGACGCTTCCTGTTCCTTCGTAGTCCACAAGTTCTGCAGGGGGACACACGAGGACATTGTCCAGAATCTGGTTTTTCGTAACGGTTAAATAACGAATGCAACAAATCTCAAGACAAATATAATTAAAAACACAAAGTTTACCTCGTACAAATGTTCTGTCGGCCGTCTCGTGGACTGCTTGGAGCTACTGCTGCTGGTGTGGAACTTCCTTGTTCTCGTCTTCCTCCTCGTCAGACTTTACGAGAGAGGCGCTCGCAGATTAAAGCACAATCTGGAATTAAGCACAAACGCCCCCCACCCTCCCCAGTACGACACATTTAAGGGGTTCTTCCTGCGCGCAGGTCACTTCTGAAAGGTTTCCATGCAAACACAAGTGCACGGAGTGCACGACTTTAGTAAACGTGTTCTCTAATGAAGCCTTTTCTCGAGGTTACTTTTGGAGGGTTGTCGGATATATTTTAATAAATTATAGCTCATAGACCTCGAGGGGTATAAATTAACTTCAGAGTTTTTTCCTGACCGACAGATTTCTCTCCTAAAACGATTGTTTCATTCGAAGGGATTGTTTTTACAGGATTTCAGCTCATGTAGTCATTTAATATTATTTATAATATTATCTTTTATTTAAGTACATTTATCACAGTTAGTGCACATTATGACTCTAAATATAATCGAGTTTAGCTCATCCAGACTGTTGTTGTTGTTGTTGTGACATGAAGAACTGAGTTTATTTACATGTTTGATAAACGACAAACACCTGAAACTCACTCTCAGAGACAAACATGTTTTTTATATATTTATATATAATCGGGGACCGAAATATTAATCTTTGTGTTTTTATTGATTGATTCTAAGAACTAAAGCAGCAGAAGTTGTCTGTCTTTCTCTCCTTCTCCCTGTCTCTCTCTGTCTCTTACTGTCTGTCTCTCTCACTCCTTCTGTCCGTCTCTCTGTCTGCTCTGAGGGAGCTCTCAGGTGGGTTTCCTCCCGTCCAAAGACCTGCAGGTGGTTCAACAGAGACTCCTGCTGGTCTTCTGTGTCGTCGGTGATCATCGCTGCAGTTCTGTGGAGGACCGGCGGCCGACCCGCTCGACTTCCTGCTTCTGGAACCAGAAATCTGCGACTCTGTTTTATTTATTTCTGTTACAAACGGAACATTTTAAGTTGCTTCCTGAAGAAATCCCAAACGTGTTTTTTAAAATCTGAAGCTTCACAATAAAAACATTCAAAGATCAAACTGCAGAAGCTTTCAGGGTCGAAGAAACAAACGGTTGTTTACGAAGTCCTAAAAAAAACTTTTTTATGACTGACACAAACTTCTTAACGTTTAATCTGAAAGTCAGATTTGAACCTTTTTTTAAACCGTCTCTTCCAGGGAGAAAGACCTGACTGCAAAATGCATCATCAGGATGGAAGGAACCAAAACCTTCATCACCAATCTGAAGGTACCTGTTCACGCCCGTGTTCACCTGTTCACGCCCGTGTTCACCTGTTCACGCCCATATTCACACCTGTTCACGCCCGTGTTCACCTGTTCACACCTGTTCACGCCCATATTCACACCTGTTCACCTGTTCACACCTGTTCACGCCCGTGTCTGACTCCTAATTTCTGCTCAGATCCCAGATAACGTCATCGGAGACTCTACGAGGGAACGAATCAAAACCTTCACGTATGATTTCTCCTACGACTCCATGGACGCCGTGAGCTCCTCGTTCGTCTCTCAGGAGAAGGTGGGTCCTGCTCTTCCTCTCTGCTCTTGACGATCTTTAACGTTTATTTGTTAAATCGTTAAGCTACGTTTTTAATTTGGGTTTTATTCCACGTTTAGTCGTTGATTCGTCTTTTCGTTCATCTTCAGATTTTCAGAGATCTGGGCTCTGATGTTCTGAAGGCGGCGTTCGAGGGCTACAACGCCTGCGTCTTCGCCTACGGCCAGACGGGCTCGGGGAAATCCTACACCATGATGGGACTTCCAGTAAGTCTCTAATGAACCCCCTTCCCTTCTCCCAGCTGTACCGAGCCGTCCAGTCTTTGTGGCAGAGTGGGGAGATCAAATCATGGACGTATCTGAGCTTCCTGCTCAGACTTCCTGGCGTTCTCGTGTTCAGATAAGTCTGGACAAATGAGAAGAGGACGTCTCTAACACTGTCTCTGTCAGTACCGTTTGGGGTGATGGTAAATGTCAAAACCACTAAACATTTGTCTTATTGGTCCTACAGTTTAAAAACTTTAAACTAGATGATAAAAACTGGACATTTAAAAAAATATATTTATATATCTCCTCCTCCTGTTGCTCCAAGACTAAAGCCGAGGCGGGAAATCCTCTAAACTTTATGATTGTTAAACAAAAGGCAACTTTTCACAGCTCATCTGCCCGTTTCTCTTTTTAAGGAAAGTCATGATGAGACGAGCCTAAGCCACAAGAGTTGGCATGTTAGCAGCTGAAATTCTACAACCTCCAGCTGCAGGCTAAGGAGGCTAACAACGGCTAACATCGGCTTTTAACCGACTAACGTCGGCTAACATCTGTTAATAACCGGCTAAGGTCAGCTAACTCTAACACTGGCTAACAACCAGCTTCCATAAGGTAACCCATCTAGCATGGACGTTTCAGACTTTATTTATTTACAATTAATTATAATTAATTACAATTAATGACAATTACCCTCAGGATGTTCCCTCCAGTTTTGAAGGGCGATTCTTCAACACCCGTTTAAACTGAGCTTTCCGGAGTCTGTATGAGTTTGTTTTCAAGGATTAAACGCAAACATCGGATGTTTGAGGACAAACATTTCTCAAGTTAATCAGCTGATCGAGGAATTCTTCAGCTCCTTGACTGATCAGCGTTCGATGGATTTATTTTCCTCCTCAGTTGTTGAAAACAAGATGAAAGCAGAGATCAGTTGAACTTTCTTTACAAAATAATTTATTTTGTAATAATATTTTTTATCTAATAAATAGTTTTAGTTTGTAGATTCTGTTTGTCCAGGAGAAATATTTGTTTTCAAGTAGAAAAATTTAAAAAAATCAGAATAGAGAACTGTTTTTAGAAACCTTATCAGAACCACGGTCTGACGTGGGTCCAGTCCGGGTCTGAGGAAAACAAAACCTGACAGACTGTCCTCGCCTTGTCCTGAAGGACAAATGGACGCTGTGGACTCCTCCTGGAAGCTGCTGTCAATCAGAGCTAAGGATGCTGGGTAATATTGAAGCTTGTTGGCAGCTGACAAGGTTTGGACCCTCGGTACCACCCTGAGGCGGTCCTGGGCTCGTCTGAAGTTGACAGAACTTCAGGTCTTTGAAGGCTCACGGAAGATGGACTTGGACTGCTTCAGATTCAGTTTAAGTCCAGTCCTGGTTCTGAACGGACTCTGCTGCTGCCGTGGTCCCTTAATGGACTCTTTATTTAACAGTACATTATAAACTGAGTCAGAACCATGTGTCGGACCTGTTGATTGGTTCCGAGTGGATCATGACAGTTTCAGTCTGTACTGATAACGAAACGACTCCAGGAGAACCTTTTGTGAATCAGCAGGTTTCTCATGGGTCAGTCTTCCCGACCCAAACGGAACACACTGACATGTTTTGGACATTTTCAGAGTTCAGATCTGTTCAGTCTGTGGTTTTCAATCCGATTTTATTTAAACTTTAAAATCCTTCAAACCCCCCCCACCCCCTGCGGACTTCTTTAGACCAGGTTCTGTATGATTGTCCCAGAGAAACCGAGAACTGATTAGAGGTCAAAGGTTCATTTAAATGCGGTTTGTGTAGAATAACCAGGACGAGTCCCTGTTTGGACCCACAGGAGGTTTTTATCGCTCTTATCTGAACCAGATCGATCGAAGAACCTGTCGGTTCCTGTCTTCTTCACGGGCGGCCGTGGTGCAGTGGTAGTGGCAGCCGACCTCTGATCGGAAGGTTGGAGGTTCGAATCCCGACTTCCCACACCATGTGCCTTTGTGTCCCTGGGCAAGACACTTAACCCCGAGTTGCTCCCGGTGGGACTGGATGGCGCCTTGCATGGCAGCCTACCGCCACCGGTGTATGAATGTGCGTGTGAATGGGTGGATGGCTGGTACTGTAAAGCGCCTTGGGGCCCCTCATAGGGGGCTGGAAGGCGCTATAGAAGTAAGCTCCATTTACCATTTACCATTCTTCCACTGATCAGAACCAATAAATAGAATCTGAGTGTTTGTCGTCAGATATGTAATCAGGAGGGAAAGTCAACATTAGACCCTGAAGACTTCAGGAAACGGTCCTCATTAATCTGAAGCTGAGAACTTCAGACTCCTCAGTCCGCCCAACAAATCTGTCCTCCAGGTGTCCTGAGGGACAGTCCAACAGAATCTTCTCATTGTAAGACAAAATACACCTCTGTCCATCTGTCTCACACCCAGCGCTCTGACTTGAACAGTTAAACTGGCCTCTCCGTTTCCATGGAAACTGAGACGACCGGGTTTACGTCTTCCGTTACCATGGAGACAAAGTTGTAGTTACCTGCAGACTCTCTGGTCCGTCCTCAGACTTCTTCAGATTGTGACGTTTGTCTGTTTCAGGGAGACGCTGGTTTGATTCCCAGGATCTGTGAGGGTTTGTTCAGTCGGATCTCTGAGGCCTCTCGATGGGACGAAGCTTCATTTCGAACAGAAGTCAGGTGAGTTTGACTCTGGCCCAACTTACAAACTACGTGCACGCAAGGATGATGTTGGTGTTGAGTCTCGGGTGCTCAGGACTCGTTTATGTCCAACGCTGTCAGACTCGTCTCCTGACAGAACGTGTCTCTTCTGTTTCTGAGGTCGGTGACGCCTCGACCCGACCAACGGGAGGTTCTGTTTAATTTGGTTCTGGGAACGTCTGACCTCTTTGTCTTCTGTTGACGCTCTCAGCTATCTGGAGATCTACAACGAGAGTGTGAGAGACCTGCTGAGGAGGAAGTCCTCCCACAACTACAACCTGAGGGTCAGGGAGCACCCCAAAGACGGGCCCTATGTGGAAGGTAGACCCAGACACCGTGTTGCTTTGATGTGGAAACGTTGGTTTGTGATTGTTTTAAAAGTCCAGAAGCGAGTCTGTCTCATGGAGTCGGCAGCAGGAAGTGACCAGAGTCTGGACCTCCGACTAAAACAAACTGAGAGGGTCTTTGACGAACTGACCCCCTCCTGTGGGTTAGACTCAGGCTCAGCTTCATTTTTAGGTTTTGAAGTTTCCACACAGAGGTTTGTTACACTGCAGCAGTAGAAGTTAAAGGTACTGCCTCTGCACCTGTTCTGTCCTCAGATCTGTCCAAACACCTGGTCCAGAACTACAGCGACGTGGAGGAGCTGATGGAGGCGGGGAACATCAACCGCACGACGGCCAGCACCGGCATGAACGATGTCAGCAGCCGCTCGCACGCCATCTTCACCATCAACTTCACTCAGGTCAGACCGATACATCAGCAGGAAAGACAGAGGTCCACCAACAGGAGAAAGGACTTTCTTCTCTCATCCTCTGTGACAGAACAAACTTTTATTCTGAAATTTGAGCTTTTTTGTGAAGCTCCAGGTTCAAACCTCTTCTTGTTTCTTTGACTTCAAATCCTGAATCCTGCCGACCCTCCTGAACATTAACGGTCTGACTAGATCGAGGGTCTATGGGGGGCCATGCCGGGCCTCAGAGTCAAACGGTTTCATCAGGATGAGTTGGTGAAAATATGAACGTCTGCTTTCAGGCTAAGTTTGACGCTGAGATGCCGTGTGAAACCATCAGCAAGATCCATCTGGTGGACCTGGCGGGCAGCGAGCGAGCCGACTCCACCGGAGCCACCGGGGTCCGGCTGAAGGAGGGGGGGAACATCAACAAGTCGCTGGTCACGCTGGGAAACGTCATCTCTGCTCTGGGTCAGAATCATCATAGATTTGTGGTCCTCTGTTTCTTTTTTTTGGGCAGCACGGTGGCGCAACTGGTAGAGCTGCTGCCTCTCAGTGAGCAGGTCCTTGGTTCAAACCCCGGTCCAGGGGCCTTTCTGGGTTGAGTTTGCATGTTCTCTCCGTGCATGCGTGGGTTTTCTCCGGGTACTCCGGTTTCCCCCCACAGACCAAAAACATGCATGTTAGGCTGATCGGTAACTCTAAATTGTCCCTAGGTGTGAGTGAGAGAGTGAATGGTTGTTTGTCTCGTTTGTCTCTATGTGTCCCTGTGATGGACTTGCGACCCGTCCAGGGTGTACCCCGCCCCTCGCACAGTGATTGCTGGACATGGGCACCAGCGACCCCCGTGACCCAAAATGGAATAAACGGGTAAAGATAATGGATGGATGGATGTTTCTTTTTGAAATCTATTGAAAGACGTTCAGGTTTTTAAAACTTTGTTAAAGATCAAACACTTCTGTTTTACATCCTACACCCTGGGGGGCGGGGGGGTTCAGTGATTCTGCTGCTGGTCGACTCTCTGACTCCTCTGGGCGTGTTTTTGTCTCCGCCAGCCGACATGACGCAGGACGGCGTGAACACCAACCTGAAGAAGAAGACGGTGTTTGTCCCCTACAGGGACTCTGTGTTGACGTGGCTGCTGAAGGACAGCCTGGGGGGCAACGCCAAGACCATCATGATCGCCAGTGAGCGCTGACGCCGCCCGTGTATTTGCGTTGGAGAAGGCGCTGCACGTTGCTGACCCGCGTTTGACCTCTTGTCTCCGCCACAGCCGTCTCCCCCGCCAACGTGAACTACGGCGAGACGCTGAGCACTCTGCGCTACGCCAACCGGGCCAAGAACATCATCAACAAACCCACAATCAACGAGGATTCCAACGTCAGGCTGATCCGGGAGCTGCGGGCTGAAATCGCCCGGCTCAAGACTCTGCTGGTTCAGGGGAACCAGGTACGTGAAAACCTCCCAGAGAGGAGCGACGCCATCGGGAAGGAAAACGTCTTGTCTGACGCCCTGTTTGTTGAATCTGTCAGATCGCCCTGCTGGATTCTCCCACGGCTCTGAGTATGGAGGAGAAGCTGCACCAGAACGAAGCCCGGGTGAGACCCGTTCACCTCGACTCCAGAACCAGTAATCATAATAAACTGAGGATAAATGTTGCGACGTGTGCAAACGCTGCAGCTGCTGGTGTTCTTCAGACTTTTATGGCCTTTTTTTTCTTGTTTCATTGTTTTATTTTTATTTTTTATTGCAGTCAGGAAGAAATGTGTTTGACGTGTTCGTGACGCAGAGCAGCTCAAAGTTTAAAAATGATGGAGGGGACTTTAAAACTGAAATAAAAGATGAATTATGAAGAAAAGTGCAGCCATTTTATATTTAAAATGTGCAGATAACTTCACCCCAAAATTAACAAACATTAAAAATATTTTTATTTTATCGTTTTGTCCCTCCTGACCTTCCATAGTCCTGTTTTCTTGGTTTAATGTTGGTCTGAATGACTGGACCTTCATCAGAACGTCTGTCTCCTCTGAGCTCTGAAGGTTTGATTTGGGTTTGCAGGTTCTGGAGCTGACCAAGGAGTGGACCAACAAATGGAACGAGACTCAGAACATCTTAAAGGTGACTCCTTCTGTTCCTGAACTCTGCAGATGATCTCCGTTTGCTCCTCTGTGTTTTAACCTTTCTGTGCTGCAGGAGGAGACGCTGGCTCTGAGGAAGGAGGGCATCGGGGTCGTGCTGGACTCGGAGCTGCCGCACCTCATCGGCATCGACGACGACCTCCTCAGCACCGGCATCATCCTGTACCACCTGAAGGTCTCGACACCTGGTCCTGCATGAACACGTGGTATCTCCTTGTTTGAGTTGAGCAACAAAATGTTTTTGTCCTTCAGGAGGGACGGACGTTTGTGGGACGAGAGGACGCGTCCACAGAGCAGGACATCAGTGAGTCGGGTTATTTGAAACTGAAGCAGCATTACTGAAAAAATATTTGGACTCTTTGACGTCTGAGACTTGATCAACCCTCACTGTGACCCGGTTCTGTTTGGTCCTGCAGTTCTGCACGGTCTGGACCTGGAGAGTGAACACTGTGTGTTTGAGAACCAGAGCGGGACAGTGACTCTGGTGCCGCTCGGCGGGGCTCAGTGTTCGGTGAACGGAGTCCAGGTGACGGTGCCGTCGCAGCTCAACCAAGGTGAGGAGGACGGTCAGAACCAGGTCCAGACGCTGAAGTTCAGTCAGATCCGTCTGAATTAAATTTATTTACGGTTTCTGGACATTCCTACAGGCGTTGAGTTTTCAGTGTACCCTCATCTGGTTCCGCTCAGGTGAACAAGTCTAGTTTCTGCTCTGTCCAGGTGCTGTGATCCTGCTGGGTCGGACCAACATGTTCCGCTTCAACCATCCGAAGGAAGCCGCCAAGCTGAGAGAGAAACGCAAGGTGAGACCCTGCTGGACCAGAGTCTGGACCTCCTGGACCTCAGTCTGAGGGATCTCATGACCTCCTTCTCTCCTCAGAGCGGCCTCCTGTCCACGTTCAGCCTGTCCATGACAGATCTGTCCAAATCCTGTGAAAACCTGTCCACTGTGATGCTCTACAACCCGGGGTGAGTCCGAACGACGTCTTCTGCTCTCATCTTCTGCACGAAGTCCGGTTACGAGTTCAGACGTGGTCTTACTTCGTTAATCAAATGAACTAGGAGTTCCTCTCAAGTCTCTGGAGTTCAGCTGTCTTCGTGGTGAGGAGAAACCTTTTTCACAGAAACTGTTTGGAGATGGGTAGACCCCTCCCCCCCACACCCGGAGCAGCTGGAGAATAAAACTGTCGTAAAGAGTTCACATCGTTTCACATAGACTGTTGTTTTCATGGGTCTTCCTGCAGGAGGATTCCAATGTTTCTCCTGGAGGAACTGTAAGATGAAATTGAAGATGTTCACGTGATGATTCTGACCCTGGATCTGTTTATTCGAGTCGTTTCCTCTGAACCTCAACTACCTGAAGTTGTGCTGTTCTAAGAAAAACACTAAAAGATATTTTGTCTCTTTCCTGTCCTGTGTCTGAGGGGAAACTCAAGCCTGGGTTTAAAGATCCTGATGCTGCTCAATAATCCAGGTAGATGACAAGGTAGAGTCAGGTCCTCTGGACGATTCTTCTTTGTTGAAATGTTTAGTCTTTAATCCAAAAACTTTGTCAGTCTGAGGAGCTGCAATAAACTCAGTCTTATAGATAGCTCCTTCTCATAGTGGATCAGCCAAAACAAGCTGTTCCCATGAAAAAGATGGACCATCAACCTAACATTCGATCGTTGGCACCCTGATGGCCGCTTGCTAGTCAGAGGGCTGAGTGATGCTTTCAATAACGACATTGTCATTGTAAGAGGGGGGACATTGGACACAGAGGCCTCCGCCCTGTTTAATGGACAGTTTCTCTTCACAAAGATGGCTTCCTTCACTCCTCTCTCAAACCATGTTCCTCTCTATCAAGGATGTGAACATCTTCATCTCTGAAGAGTGACTGCTGGCCTTCAGATGAGTGTAGACCGCAGAGTCATGGCCTGATGATGTTGCTCTTCAATTCAATTCCGTTTGTTGTGATTTGGTGCCATTATAAATAAAGTTGTCTCAGGGCACTTTACAGAAACATTTCTTCTGTGCTGGACCGTCCTTTTGGCCATGGCTGCTTAGTTTCCACAATGTAGAACTGATCACAGCCCTTTTGGCACTGAACAGCATATACAAACCCCAAAATCCATTATGGCAAATACTGGTCCATCTCAAAGATCCAGTCCCCCAGTACAAACGGAGTAATATTGACCGGTCAGGCGGTCGGTCAGGCGGTCAGTCAGGCGGTCGGTCGGAGCAGACGCTGCGACTGGAAGCTGCAGTTTATGTTTCAAACGTGTCGATTTCCATGTGAATAAAACGATGAAAACCAGAGTGATGTTGGGTTTAAAGGTTTTAACTGTGTCCGTCCTGTCTGTTGACAGTCTCTTCACTGAGAAAGGCGCCGTCTTCCTCAGGTAGACTCAGCTGTCCACTTCCTGTTAACTGTCCCGTCCTGACCCAGGGACGGGTGTTTGACTTGTCCAGTCTGTCCACCTCGGCGTTCATCGTCTGTTTTTAGTTTTTCATCAGTTTGTTGCTTCTGTCCTCCCTCTGACGTCTCTGGCTACACTTTCATCCCAAGCTTTTTTGTTTTGTTGCTGCTTTCACTCACCATGTTCACTGTGTCCGTCTGTCTTAGATGACGATGAGGATGATGAAGGTGTTTATTTTCTCAGGTTGGAGTTTGAGAGGCAGCAGAGAGAAGAGCTGGAGAAACTGGAGATGAAAAGGTACAAAATGTGACTGTTTATCCGAATAAATTCTGATATTTTAAGCCTCCCAGCTCCTCGTTTTACCTGCTGGTGTCTTCTATATTACCCAGCATGCTTTGCTTCTTCCTGTTTCCATCATGGCCGCCCCCACTGATACTTCATGTCGCCTCTGATCAGTCTCTGATGTTCTGGAGGATTAGGTCAGAGTGTTGGCAGGGAACAGGAAGAGGGCTGAACCTGTAGTTTCAAAATAAAGCTCAGAGACGCACTTTTAAAAAAAAAAAGAGCCTTCCTCAGTCAGAAATCCTCACTTCCTGTTGGACTTTAGAGCAAAACGTTGATCTGTTTAATATTTTTATCACTCGTTGCCACGAACAGTTGATCATTTTATGACCTGTGGGTGTGGGAAATTGTTAGCAAAATATCTTGTTAACCACTGGACTCATTTTCATGAACAAGTAATCATTAGATGAACAGCTTGAACTAATTAGCTGTGGCAGCCATCTTGGATCAGGATGAATCCAAACGTTCAACTTTAGAAGATTCACAGATTTCAACATGACGTTCTCTATTTTTGTTCCTGCAGGAGGTTGATCAAAGAGATGGAGGCCAAGCAGCAGAGCGAGAAGGCGGAGCTTCAGCGCCTCCAGCAGGAGGTGGAGAGTCAGCGCAAGGAGTCTGAGGAGGTCCAGCAGCGAATCCTACGTCAGGAGGAGAGCCTCCGCCACCGCAGCCAAGACATTGACGGCCGCCTGCGGGACTTCCTGGCTGAGAAGGAGCGCTTTGAGGAGGAGAGGCGCACTGAGGTTCAAGGGGTGAGGAGGTGCTGGACACATCGTCAGGATGGTGATGAGGAGGAGGTTAAGCGGCGGCAGCAGGAGGCCGCAGAGCAGGCTGACATTTACCGCGAGCTGGAAAAACTGAAGAAGGAGCGCACAGAGCAGAGGGTCCGCCTAGAGGCGGAGCGGCGGCGGCTGGAGGAGCAGGAGCAGGAGCAGCTAAGTCTGGTGGGGAGGCTGGAGGAGCAGCTGAGGGAGAAACACGAGGAAGCCACAGCCCTGCTGACACGGCAAGAGACCCGCCGCCTGGAAGAGGAGCGGCAAGCTCTGGCAGAGATCAGGGAGGAGCTCCTTTGTGCCAAAGAGGCTGCGGAGCGTACAGATGTGGAGGAGGCCAGCAGGGAGGCCAAATCTGCCCAGAACCGGTACATGAACTTCAAGGAGGTTCAGGTGAAGGAGCTGGACCAGTTGGAGGAGGAGCTCCGACAGCAAAAGAAGCGCCTGGAGGAGGAGGTGGCTGGTGAGAGGAGCGCGCTGCTTCTCCTCGCTCACAGCCTGAAGGAGAAGCAGCTGAAGGAGGTGATGGACTCCTCAGCCATCTACCATGAAGAGCAGATGGTCAACCAGGCAGAGCGCCGCCTGCAGTTTAAGGAGCGACAGCTCACCGACATGGCCGACGGCCTCCTCCCAGCGCTGGCCGAGGAGAAGCAGAGAGCCATGGAGGTGCTGGAGCTCAGCGGGGAGTGCAACGGTCCTCCTGTACTGGACAACACGCTGTTCCAGGTGGAGAAGGAGCTAGAGGAGAAGGAGGAGAAGCTGCACCTCCACTGGCACAGCGCCCAGCAGCTGCAGCAGCTGCAGGACTCCTACGAGTTCACGGCCAATGTGGCGAGGCAGGAGGACAAGGTCCGCAGGAAGGAGAAGGAGATCCTGGAGTCCAAGGAGAAGCAGCAGACGGAGGCCATGGAGCAGGCGGTGGCCCGGCTGGAGAGGAGGCACTCAGCTTTGAGGCGCAGCGTCTCCCTGGAGCCGGACTCCGAGGACCACAGACACAAGAGTTCAATGAGCAGAACCTCCAGACCAGGAGCCGATGTGGACCAGCAGAGGTCAGAATCAGTAAAGCTGAGTTCTGTGGAACCAGGCGGGTTTCAACGGGAGCTCAGAAGGTTTTTTTTTTTTTTTTTTTTTTTTTTTTTATTCTCTGCAGAGTCGAGCAGGAGATCCAGAAGCTGCGGCAGAGGATCAGCGATGGGGGCGACAACAACCGGACCATCTCAGTCGGTACCGATGAGAAGACCGGTCAGAGCAGCTCCCCTGTCAGCCACGCTCAGAGTCTAAACAGTCTGCTGCCCATGTCAGATGACCGGTACGAGCCCTTCATCCCTCCTACACACACAACTGGATCTTTAAAGATGTTCTGAAGGTCGCTCTTTTTTTTACAGGATCAATGCCTACATCGAAGAAGAGGTCCAGAGACGGCTGCAGAAGATGAACCTGCTGAACTGCAGCAGCAACATGAACCTGTCCCGGTCCTCAGAGTCCCTCAGAGTAAGTCTCCGTTCACCTGTCAGACTCATCGAAACCTTCATGTGGTATTAACTAGGGGTGTAAATCACCAGCTTCACCACGATACGACATTATACTGATTTTGTTTGTATGACGATACGATTTATTTAGATATCATGAAGTCTGTCACGATACGATTTCGATTCGATTCACAAGTCTGCGATCGATGTATTGCGATATCAAATGCCCATCTCATTTACATACAAATACATTTGCAAAAACAATTTAAATATGATTTAACCATTTTATTTCTGTTGTTACAGGCACCAGGCATTTAATTAAAAACAAACAAAACGTTTTTTTCTTAATGAAAAAATAAAAATAAATGACCTGTTCAGTATAGTCTCACATTTCTCATGTTTAAGTGCATTTTTTAAACCATTTAACTTAAAAGTGCCATGATTACATTTTTAGTTGTAAAGAAACAAAAATAGATATTGAGCTTGCATAACATGGCTATCAATGCCGTGTTTCTTCTTCAGGTGAACGGCCAAATGTGTTGTTTCCCCGAGTATTTGAACTCACACTGGCACCTGTTGATACGATGTGAGTTTTATCTGTTGAGCCGTCCTTCTGTCAGAATCCAAAATATTTCCACAGTGTTGATTTAAATCCAGCACAAGAATGAATTTCATGATCTGTTTTCTGTTTTCTGCCTCGTCTGCCATGTTGCTGAGGCGGCCGCAGAGCGCAGTCACACACGGAAATGGAGACGCAGACGTGCCTTGGGAATTTCAAAATAAAAGTGTATTTTAAAGATGACGATATGAATCGATGTTTTCGTTTTGCCACAATATAATTTTATCATTTAATCGATATATCGATTTAAATCAATGTATTGTTACACCCCTAGTATTAATTCAGAAAGCGGCTGATGTTTACACACTTCCTGGTGTGTGTGTGTTTGCACGCTTCCTGTTGTATTTACAGTTCGGGATAATAAATTCCTCCTTCAGGTTCTGATCTGGTCTAAATCGGGTTCTAAAATGATCCAAATCTGACCTGACGTAACTTGAATCAACTGGTTCCACAAAGTTATTATTCAACAGAACCCGTTTCTACATCCAGGTCCAGAACCTCCTAAAGCAGCAGAACCATCAGCAGTTGTGTGTAGGATTTCATCAGTCTGTCTCATGGTTGTGGAGGACTTTTGGCCCACTCTTCTTTCCAACGTTGCTTCAGTTCACCTGAGGTTATATTTGGAACATGTTGAATCTGAAGTCCAAGTCAGTTTGATCAGGCCCTGAAACCTGGAACTGAAGGAGGCGGACTGTAGATGTTGACTTATGGAGAAAACAAACTTGACAAAAATTAATAATATGATACAAACTGTATATAGAACAGAGTACCGGATTTTGAAGGCGTCTCAGTTGTAACTGGTTGGATTGTAAAACTGGATGCTGGTCTTATCAGACCTTCAGGGGTCAGTCATGCCCCCAGCAGGTGATGATCAGTCTGTCTCTGTGTAGAACTGATATTTAGCTCTTTAATCTGCAGGAGGAGGAGGAGATTAGCGACTGTAGCTCTGTTAGGTTAACAGATGAGGTAAGACCAGGATCAGTTCTTGGTTTGTTCCTGTTCCTCTGTGATCTGCATGACCCCTCCCATGATCCAATCCAGTTTCTGTTTCTACCTTGGTTTATTTAATCCCATCCATTTCTCCTGAAAAATAAAGGATAATCTGGATTCTATCGTTCAAATGCTTCGTCTTGTTTACAAGACTTGATTCGTTTTTGATGGAGATTGAATTTGTTGTTTCCAGGAGGATGAAAAGCTGCAGAACATTAATCCAAGAAGACTTAAATATGAGGTATGAGTCCCGGTCCATGATCAATGTGGCTGTTTTTTACATTTCATTTGCCTGATACTAACACGCTTCACAAATCTGAACCTTATTCTATTCTGTATAATTTATTATGAATCTAATTTTAAATACATGTGTTTTCAGATTCAAAATGGAGTAGTTTTAAACAGAACCTTTTAATTTATTTTAATTAAAAAATATAAATACTTACACAAATGGTTTAAAAGTTTTGTTTGTACATGACAGGCTGGTGTTGTTAATCCTATCCTGTGCACCTGGTGGCGTTAATCCTCACCTGTGCACCTGGTGGCATTGTTAATTCTCTCCTGTGCACCTGGTGGCATTAAATCTCTTGTGCACCTGGTGGCATTAATCCTCTCTTGTACACCTGGTGTCGTCGTTAATCCTCTCCTGTGCACCTGGTGTCGTCGT